GTCGGCACTTGTAGGCGTTTTTAAGAGGAAGCTTAACCATAATAGCATTGCGCACCATAACGCATTCGGCGCATAAGCCGTATGAAGGAAAGCTTCTACTAACTTTGAACTGACCTCCGTTGCTGATTGTTTATTGCTTTTGTGGCCTGTTAAGTCGCATATTTTGGGAAGGTTTATTGGTAAAATTTATCGAAATTCTCCCTGAAATTAGCATTGGGTGCCCGGAGGCAATTTTTTATCGGACCACTTTCTCCATTGGGCACTTTTACTACTGTATGTGTCGGTGTTAATGGTCCTTTCATGAAGCCGTGATTCTGTAATTTATTGATGATTGTTCTGTACGTTTCAGAATACTTTTCCTAACTTTTAAATTATAACCTAATTGAGTGTAACAAAAGGGGAGTACAAAATGGCATACCTAATCTTCTCTTGAGCAAACTAAACTGAAGATACTACGCAGGATATACAAGGTTTATTATTTTACTGGACCAAAATATGAGCCGCGGAAGCGAATACGCTACTTGTCGCACTGTCATCGTCTAGCCCTCCGTATGTGTTTCTGTCCCGGTAGCCAATTATAATATAATTTTTTGACATTTGGAGGGTGGTTCGTTTTGTTTAGATTTCATCTTGTATAGATATTGGTCTGCTGAATTTGGTAATTTTTTATGTAAATTTGAAGAAAATTGGCTCACACTTTAAATTGTGTTAGATTGTGTCAAATTAAATGAAAATAACGGACAGTCGCAAAAGCAAAAATGGTATTAGGGGGAGGCTAAAGTAACACGATGGCCTCGCCGTAGTATAAACTCATACTAAAGTGCTGACTGCGTCGATAATCGAGCGTGAGACCTTAACAAGTGGGAAGAATTAAATAAGCAGTTGGTCCAGTTTACGGAATTTCAGTCGCGGAGGTAGACCCCAAGTATATGAGTTCATTGTTGGATATTTATACCCAATGAGGTCAGCGACCGGGAGCAATTTATCATTTTTCCGCCCCATCAGTTTATGTTCTCGGGGTCTCTCCTTTAACCCTTTTAAGATTTGTTCTGTGCTATCGCAGAGAGCCCTGTGACAAAAATCCAATAAATCATGTAAAATTGACACTATTGTTTCAGCTAGCCTCTGACGCACCGACTTAATTCCTCACAGGAGCTTCCCCTTAAACATTCCTAATACATAACAGAGCATGTCATAGTTTCCTTCCATTTTAGTCTTCTAAGAGCTACCGTCCTTCTCTTATTAGTTAAACATTCCGGACGCCTCACTGCGATCTTTGTAAACCTCTACGGGATCATCTAATCACTTAAACTTTCTGGAAAAATTCATCCCTGTTGCAGCTGTCTTCAAATGTGCTAGTGCCAATTAAAAAAACGCAGGACGCTATTTCGCGCTACGATTTTAAGGATATGAATACACATTTTTCATTAGCGATTAACTAGTTTGGCGAGTAGTTTTCCAGTGGCTTGTAAAACATTGCATACATTTGTAGTCCGTCTACTGTCACCGAGTGATTTACTAGAAGTTTTACACGTAATGACTGATGACTTCCTTTCAATAGCAGGACGTGACTTTCAGACTCGATCCGTTTTTGTTCGGCCGTTCCGTTCCGTCTCGCTTTCTTATTTTTGTTGCAAAAACGTAACCACCGAAAGGCTGCCTGAAATCGTAGTCGATTAACTTTTTATCGTAATTAAGTATTCAAACATAAGACAAGTATCACGAGCAAATTCAATGTGGTGCCACATCTGTAGATTTTACAATAGAACTATCAAGGTTCCCCGTCTTTTTTCCCATCAAAATAAATCATCAAAAGACTGCGTGTATCAATTAGCTCATATATGGTAAAAAAGGCATCAATCTAGTTTCCGCCCTACTCATTCATTCGTCATAACCTATTTTAACTGTATTATCCAGGCTGAGCACCCATGTACTGCAAACCTCTTGTTGAAAAACCGTTGCTTGCTTGTTGTAACATGCTTGCGGAGGCAAACTTAAAGCGAGCGTATGGTATCTCATTATAAATAGTAGTTCCTTAAAAGTCTACATTTTGTTGTAATTTGATGTCGCCTGATATCTATATTTGCATTTACAATTGCCATCCAACTAGTCGTATTTTTATGACCTTCATTTAGAAAGGCCGAGGTAACTAATGCTACAGAAGCTTAAATTCGCCGTCACTGGGCCCTCCCTCATCTCGGTCCCCACTGGGTCAAACAGTCATGCAAGTTCTACCCCTTCAGCTTCCTATTCACATGTCGACTAGGCTGTGGCCTATGTGCCGAATGCGCTTGAGAGAACTTCTTCCTTCTACATCTCTACAGCTGAATCCTGTTTCGGTCTTGCCAAATGGACCGTTCTATTCTGGTTTCCATTTGCACTCCGCACCGGTAAGCTTATGGAATCACTTGATTGCATGCATCCTTTTTCAGCCCGAAACGTGACTTCTGTCATCTGGTATGCCAAATTCTTTGGATGTTTCTCTCTGGCCTACATGCTGGCTTCTGTCTGTTTAGGTAGGCTTCTTCATTTTTTTGGTCCGCATATCTGCACTTACCCCCTCCCCCATGCAGGTATTAGTCGTCTTCAGAATCCCGCTTATGCCCGCTTCGTGGATCTGTATTTGGAAACCAAGAAACGGCCTTCAAAGGAGTCGATTGTATGCTTGCGCATAACTTATTTAACTTGATCGTTGCAGAACCGGCTGACAGCGTACGGCTTTCGGTATCAGTGGCCGGCTGAGTTCGATGTCCAAACAGTTAACAATTCTCTGTGGATACCTCGCCAAAATCTGATCCCGGATCGCAGCAGTAATGCTTCCACCCTGCTTTCTCCCCTTCAGTGAGTAAGCCGAACCTACAATTCCTGTACTAACCACGTTGCTCCGAGCCCACGTTTTTTTCTGACAAGACATCCACGGTAACATTTGTAGTGTAGCCATGGAGATGTTCCCCTCGCACACCTTCACTAAGTCCGGGGGGATCAAGGTGAACAGAAAACTCGTGTTAATGTCTTTGTCTGCAGTATTATCTGCCTACTAATACCAGTTGTTACGGCTGTCAGGGCCTCTGTCGAAGCCCAAGGCAGAGCGGGACAGATGAGTTCGTTAGCGGTCAGATGAGCGTTCGTCAACCTGACCCAAACTGGCGAGACAACGAGCTCGCGGCTCAATGATTAGAGCGTTTGACTCTGATAAAAATATTCGCGAGTTCGAGGCTCGGGTAGGACACCACTTGGGTCTGGATATGACTGTTTGACGAGGGCTAATAAGCTAGAAATGCCCATTCCAGTCTCCGTTGTCTTTGCTGGCAATATTATCTTATACACTTATCTTGATTTTGAGTCTCTTGAGTCCACCCGAGGCCTGCTTTCAAAGTTTTACACAAAAATGTGTACGGGCTTGTTTTTGCTCGTCGATGTATGAGCTGACCACAGTCTAAAACAGACGTGGTTCGCATGCAAAACAACCACCTTATTTATTCTTTCTCATGAGAAATGTATATTCCAGGCTGTTAAATGAAAACTGAAAACAACAGCACATACAGGTAGCACACAGACTTACAACTACTTGGCGCATCAGTCTTGTGTACCCAAACAAATCGATAACAAGATCCTGTGGCATTGGTGACGAAATCGGGAAGTCTGCTTTTACTTGTACACGAATAACGGCTGGCAGCGAGGAGAAATGTATACTTTTGAGGTTTACGGGCATACGGGGCCAGGCGCACTTTGGACGCAGGACGAATATGGCAAAAAACTCTCATCGTTGGCGCCTGCCCGACAGACACATTTCGAGAGTCCCTTAAAGTACGTTGCCCAGACAAGACATGCATCAGTAGGCATTTCGATTTAGATGCCGCGCACACACTTTTCAGGGTCGGACATAGCCAATCTCGACCGCGGTCGTCACCGTATTTTGTGGACGCCTACTGGCACAAACCTGAAGTAATTTGTTAGGCAAGTCGATAGCAAGTCATTACACTTCTTGGGAGGTCTGTTTTTCAATAAGGCGAAGGAAGGCTGTCACAACCAGCGTCATCTAGTGCGTCTGCACCGAGCAGCCGTAGTGATGTCTTGTATGGTGTGGCAGACGTGCTCAGTATGCGTCGCACGCGCCGCTCTCTCCTTCTGACTCGCTTGTTGTTGTCGGCTGAAACCTGAGCCCGGGTCAGTTTTTCGTTGGGCATTCCCTGAATGCCGTTCAACTTCAAACGATTTTTCAGTGTCTCTGCAATATTAGCAGGAGCAGAACAGTATCGTGGCATGCTGTTCCCTGATTGGTGAAACGCATAGTTTGCTTCTATCGTACGCATGAAATCATCGGCACTTGTATCCTTTTTGTGGAGGTTTTTAGGACTTTTTGACCTTTTTCGTAGAGTGAGGGTGTAAACCGAATTTTACTTGAGTCCTTCTGTAGGCATTTCCTAGTTTTAAAAGCATTCTCAAATTCTCAGGTCTCGCGCGAATGGTGCAGAATTGTTTTGCCTACTCAGCTTTCAGACTACCCTCAACGAAGCTATTTGACAGTTAGCCTAAGTTTCAAGGTCAGTTGTTGGAGGATGTGTGTTTGTGCCTGTATTACGCGTCTGAGCAATCGTGTGCGTGATCAAACAGTCTAGCCATCGTGTCTGAATGCGTTCTGTCTGATTTGGCGGCTTTTCGGCAGACTTTCTCGCCAAACTTGCCCAGCGTTTATTGTGCTCTGGCCCGGCTTTGCAGCTTTGGCGGCGTTGCTTTTAATGCGCGGAGGAAAATTTGAACCTCCCTAGAATTCGATTGCTTTGCTACTGTCCTTTCTCAATTTGTCTTCTTTTTCTGATTCGTTCTCAGTCTTGATGTAGAACTGGAATATCAAAATTTGTCCGTTTGAACATTCTGCAGTTTTCTTAAAGCTAGTAATCTTTCTCCCCTCGGTAATTTTGCTGGGGCAGCCCAGAACTGGACTTTTTAAAACCGATGGTATCTTTATAGGTGATTTACTTGACTAGATTTGCGCCATTCTTGCATACTCGTGTCTCTTGGTTCTCCGGCAAGCTCTCAATTCATTTCATTTTCGTTTTTTCTAGCTGGATTTTGAACTGCACAATCGGTGTGAGGATGATATACCCCGGCTGTACTAACCTTTTCAATAGCTGGACGCGTAAGTCTCTATTTTTCTCCCTTCACCTCCCTGACTTCTCCTCATCCATTTATTGGCTTCCATTCTATTCGGTTTGTACGTTTTTTTTTCGGATCTGAATATGGAACCCCCTCCCCCTCTGCTATAGGTGGCCAAACGCCAAGTTCCAGGGGACTAATTCTAACTCCAGCCCCAACCCTCCTGATTCTAACTCCAAATCTTTTAACCCTAGCTCCCATCTTAATTCTAACCCTTTTTAACCACAAAGTCCTCTGGCATTTAATCCCAGGCCACCTAAATTACGGGAGGTCCATATTCCTGCGCCCTAACTTGCGTTCCTTCAGCATTATTCTTCCTTCATCATTCTTCTGTTTCAGTCGCTTTCTGCTGTACAGTAAATTAAAAAAACTCATGAAATGTCGTGGTATAAACAGGAAAATTAATTTTGCGCGACATCACCGCATACAGTGATTTCGCGCAAAATTTGCCATGCAAAAGGAATTTCTATAGGAAACAGATCCGGTCTGTTAGCAGGAATAAAAATAGATTGGAGGCCACACACGGAGAGACTGGCTGTTAACTAAAACGTTAGAGTACAGTTGCACATTTAACAAAATTCCTACCATCTTATATATATTGAGAGAAATTGCCTTTCGTCAGACCCTTTTGTGATTATTTCGAGAGTTCGAAGGTGAAGAGCTTCAGGTTGTTCTTCCAATTCTGCTTAACACTTTGCGACTTTTAGTGTTTTTGTTCGCTTATCCCTACATACCGATATTGTTCTGCATGTTTACAAAAAAACTTCAAAATAAGCTGTTTCGTAAAATTATTTACCTAAATAATCAGTTTTTAAACATTTTTTTGTTATGCAGCTGCCTGTTTTAGTCATGATTTTAAAATCACCCAAAAATGTCAACTCATTGTCAAGAAAGATGAACGTCCACAACAAAGGTCGCAAATGAATAAGCCTAAAAGAAATTTAAAAAACTTCCTATAACAAGTTACCTCTTCAAAAAACGCCTTAATTTGATACTTCGACATCGAATATCTGTGTACTTTACCTTTTTGAGGATAAAGTCAAGATCAAAACAGCAAATATTGACCAGTTTTTTTGACTTGCCTGCAAATTAGGGATAAATCTTCTGCCTAAAATGAAAGAACGCAATTTTTAATGTATACCGGAGTATTTTTTTGTAAATTTTGTTACTTCTAGGCCCCGTTCTTTGATTGTAAAAGCACACCACAGTGACATACTACATGCTTCGATTGTACTAAAACTGACAATCTTCTGCATGTTTCGTTTCGAGTTTTTATATTCATTGATTTTCTTCTTTATAGTGAAAAGGTTTAAACGGAGTTCGTTTACGACGTTACAGAAAAAAATTCTATGACATTTCGCGGCACCTCATCTAATGGTTAATTAGGGGTTCTTAGTTCGGCGCAGTAAAACAACTTATGGTCTTATGAGTTTATTCCTTATCTTTATGGCACAAAACTTAACCGATTTGCATGACAAAATTTTGTAAACTGACTTCCCTCTTCTTTTCCCGACAATAATGCTTTATCTCCTAAACACACTTACTTAAATTTCATGAACACAAAACAAACTTTTCCGTTCTGAGAAGAGATATAATTAAAACGTTTCTAGTCTTTATTAATGTCCTCCTATAGTACAACACGCAAAAACGAGAAGTTTTGGTTCGCAGCGTTTAATAGCGTAGGAAGTTCCTTGAATATCAACAAACGTTGGATTTGGCTCAATTCTGCTCCTAGTTGCCCCCAGTATACTAATCTGAAGTGAACTCTTCTAGCAAAATCCAACCCCACCTCCACGCTGGTGCGCGCCGGAAACTTGCTTTCGCTT